ACGCCGTGTCCTCCTTCTCCTCCATCATGCTCTTCTCCATGTCGTCTGAGGCTATCCTCTTCCATCGTGTGAGTCTCCGGGCGGCCAGCGAGGGGCTGCCCAACTGCGCAGGACGCGCCAGAGCGTCCAAAAGTGGCGTAGTTCTCCAGGTGGACCCCTGGGACGCCGTCCCTGATCTCCCATAGTGGCGTCCGGCGTCGGAGAGGACTCCGGAGTGCCGTCGCACGGCGTCGGAGAGGAGGACAGTGGAGGAGGTGTGTGAGGAGCGCTCGGTGGAGGACGAGTCTCCACCACCTCCGCCTTGGTCACTCATTACCGTGACTCCCTCATTACTAGGGCCAGACCCCACTCCACGGTAGCTACTACACCTCACTCCACGCTAGACTAGCAACACTAGCGAAGCGTAACTAGTTAAGTCACACTAGCGAAGCGTAACTAGCTAAGTCACACTAGCCGAGCAACACTAGCGAAGCGTAACTAGCTAAGTCACACTAGCGAAGCGTAACTTGCTAAGTCACACTAGCGAAGCGTAACTAGCTAAGTCACACTAGCCGAGCAACACTAGCCAAGCGTAACTAGCTAAGTCACACTAGCCGAGCAACACTAGCCAAGCGTAACCAGCTAAGTCACACTAGCCGAGCAACACTAGCCAAGCGTAACTAGCTAAGTCACACTAGCGAAGCGTAACTAGCTAAGCCACACTAGCCAAACCTCACCTATATTTCACCACAATTGTCTCTCATCTCACACAGCTACTTCTCTCTTCTTGTACAACTATCACATGTAATATCCTCAACTCATTTATAACATTTTCTAATTACTCTGGAAATTTGGAATAACTTTGCAACTTCACTATTTACATATATCTATAAATATATCTATGTACATATTATGTGAATATATTTAAAATACACTGTTTATAATCATGTTTTTCTATATTCTCATTATGCAAATTTTCATAGCATATTTCTGTCAAACATTTGTTGTCTTAATTAATTACAACACACCTGTAAAGATCATAGATAAGTGTAAAACATGATATCTTGTCAAACTATCGTTTGATCAGTTACTTCAACGTGAAGTTCACGAATTGCCACATTATTGAGGCATATGGCCATCGCTCTCATAGTTCGAGTGATACTCGAGCATAAGCATAATTGTGAACGACTCGAGCAAAGGTGAAGACCTTGGAGAAGCAGCTGTCCCATAACTAGGGCCGTGATAAGGGTTCGAACTTATGCCTGGGGTGATCTCAGACGCTGCCTTAGTCGACTAGGCCACAACATGGTAAAAAGAATCACTAACATATAACCATATACACTCATGGTATAATTGAGTGTATACGGTATATGTACTAACTTAACCTAACCCACCACACACACACCGAAACTACGACGTTGGTACAACGTTCGAACAAGTTTTAACACCTTCTAACCAGTTATAACAACCAATATAGCAAGTTGTAACAACGTTCTAATACGTCATGAACACGTTAAGCCAAGACGTAACAACTTTATTACAAGTTGTAACAAGCGGAAAATAGAGACAGTTCTGGTTTGTGTTTCCAGGGAATTCACTCTTGATCAAAGATATGTTGGTAGCCTTGATATTTACACGATCTTCCCTCGACGTAGATTCTAAGATGGACACAGTGGAGGGCTTCCTGTGGCCTCATCTTAACCTCTTCATCTTGAGACGCACTCGACTCAAAGCAGAATTGTTTCGTCTCATCCCCTTGAAGAAGACTGAGACAGTTCTGCTACTCAAGTTCAAGTTCAAGTTCAAATATGTTTATTGAGATAAGCAATAAATACATCTCAAAGGGATAGAGTAGCTTAGGCTATTTCTACCCTCCCTGCTACTCAAGTCCCCCCCTGAAACCTGTCAACAGTCTTCCCTTAGCACCAAACAAGACACGGGGTTCTAAGATTAGCTCTCAACAGTATCAAAAGCGGTTTCAAGATCAATAAATGTCGCGTGACAACTTGGTGCCTGCCTGATAAAATATTTAGACATCAGGCTTGTGTGCTCCTTCCTGGAAGGAAGCCATACATTTAAGGTGTTTTTTCTTTACGTGAAAGATGTGATTATCTTTCCTTTCTCCCTCTCTACAAAACCTCTCTATCTCCCTCACTCCCTTCCTTCTCCCTCTCCTTATCTTTCCCCCCACCCCCCCCACACACTCCCTACCTGTCTCACCCCATCGCTGTAACCGGTTTCCCTACATAACTGTAATCAAATCCTTACCCCTAGAAAACAATTCAAGTTCAAGTATGTTTATTGAGATAAGCAAGAAATACATCTCAAAGGGATAGAGTAGCTTAGGCTATTTCTACCCCCGAAAACAATTCTGTCAAATGTTATACAAATTATAAAGTCTATGGATTTGAGACATAACATTTCACATCCATAGATTTCGTGACGGCATTGGGGCCAACCCCCCCTTCAAGGGTGGCATGGAGGCCAACCCAGACCCGCTATGATGTTCTTCATAAAATCCTGGACAGTTTAATGGGGCTAGCCCTAAGTATCTGGCTTTCAACCGCAGATAGATAAACAGACATTCTATTCTATAGATATCTGTAGACTAGAGGGGTACCCGGTAGTGCCGGGGTCTCTTCCCCACTCCCCTCTCCCCTATTTGCTTCACACCTCTCCCCTCATTTTCCTTATCACGCACTCTCTCTCTCTCTCCCTTCCTCCTCTTATCACCTTTCTTACTCTTTCACCATTCTATCCTCTCCTCTCTTTCCCTTCTCATCCTCCTCCTCTCCCATTTTATATATCTTGCCTTCCTCTATTATTTCTCCCACTTAACCCATAAGTGGAAAAGAAGCCCATAATCTAGGGCTGTCAATCACTCTAAATTGGATACCAAGTCACATTGGCATAGATGGTAATGACAAGGCAAACTCACTAGCAAAACCTGCCACTGCCCTGCCTGTTGTACAGCTTCAAATACCTCCAAGTTTCTCACAGATTAAGGAGCAAATCAAGAAGAAAATATTCTCAACTATCAAAAGTCGCCACAGAGACAAAGTAGAGGAAGGAAGATCCACTGCGATATGGTACGAACAAGCCACTGGGAACAGGGCCATTAGGATGAAAGAAACCTTTTGCCCATTTGTCTCCGCCTCCACCGGGGATCGAACCCGGAACCTCAGAATTGACAAACGACAAAATACAATGACAAAAGTTAGAACATCGTTCAGGCACCTTAATCTGGAGTAATTTAGATCACTGTACAATGCAGAGTGATTAACAATGGGTGCACTGCAATGCAGAGTGATCAACAATGGGTGCACTGCAATGCAGAGTGATCAACAATGGGTGCACTGCAATGCAGAGTGATCAACAATGGGTGCACTGCAATGCAGAGTGATCAACAATGGGTGCACTGCAATGCAGAGTGATCAACAATGGGTGCACTGCAATGCAGAGTGATCAACAATGGGTGCACTGCAATGCAGAGTGATCAACAATGGGTGCACTGCAATGTAGAGTGATCAACAATGGGTGCACTGCAATGCAGAGTGATCAACAATGGGTGCACTGCAATGCAGAGTGATCAACAATGGGTGCACTGCAATGCACAGTGATTAACAATGGGTGCACTGCAATGCACAGTGATTAACAATGGGTGCACTGCAATGCAGAGTGATTAACAATGGGTGCACTGCAATGCAGAGTGATCAACAATGGGTGCACTACAATGCAGAGTGATTAACAATGGGTGCACTGCAATGCAGAGTGATCAACAATGGGTGCACTGCAATGCAGAGTGATTAACAATGGGTGCACTGCAATGCAGAGTGATCAACAATGGGTGCACTACAATGCACAGTGATTAGAAGGAGCCTCTCCGTGAAGCCCCAATCTAAGAATGCTAAAAAAGATTGGAGGGTTACCACGAATCTTGTCCCTGAATATGAGGGATGATTTATGAAGATAGACTGAAAGAACTAGACCTGACATCGCTAGACAATAGGAGAGAGGAGACATGATATAAAGATAAAAGTGACAGATTGGAAAAGGAGATATTTGGAATGACAGTTTAAAGACCCGTAGAGCATAGAGATGGAAGCTTGCGAATCAGATCGGTGATAGAAATGTTTGAAAACTTTCTATTAGGGTAAGAGTAGTGGGAAAATGGAATCTGGAAAAAGTACAGGTTGTAAAGGCGATCTCCTGTCATTATATCCGAGGTAACAGAGAGGAAGGCAGGAGTCTTTGCATTTGAAAACTAGCAGTTAAAGAGTTTGGGTTCAAGAGCTAAATCTCTACCCTGCAGGCACCTGTAGGTGAGAACTAATTGGTACACACACACACACACAAGTACGCACACAAAACAGTAATATAACTCCTACATGCCTACTTGTGTGTGTGTGTGTGTGTGTGTGTGTGTGTGTGTGTGTGTGTGTGTGTGTGTGTGTGTGTGTGTGTGTGTGTGTGTGTGTGTGTGTGTGTGTACTCACCTAGTTGTGCTTGCGGGGGTTGAGCTCTGGCTCTTTGGTCCCGCCTCTCAACTGTCAATCAACTGGTGTACAGGTTCCTGAGCCTATTGGGCTCTATCATATCTACACTTGAAACTGTGTATGGAGTCAGCCTCCACCACATCACTGCCTAATGTATTCCATACATTCCATTCCATTGTGTGTGTGTGTGTGTGTGTGTGTGTGTGTGTGTGTGTGTGTGTGTGTGTGTGTGTGTGTGTGTGTGTGTGTGTGTGTGTGTGTGTGTGTGTAAACTCATCTATTTGCCCCTAACTTTCAACAAAAACAAAACGTAGTCGTTGTCACCCACACGTCAAACAAACTCCAAAATTTGCAGATTAAACACCAACTTTCTGGCACCTCGTTATTCGTACTTTCTTGAGAACTAATTAAAGTTCCTCTCAAGCAGAGACCATTCAGGCAGGAGTTAGTGTCTTGCAATTGTCCACAAAATATCATGAGTGTTTGTCAACAAACAACAGCTGTCTCTACATGATTCTACGTGTCCTAAGGACTCAGTGGTACCAGGTCCCACTTGGTCTTATAAGTTCCAAGTGGAACCAGGTCCCACTTGGTCTTATAAGTTCCTAGTGGAACCAGGTCCCACTTGGTCTTATAAGTTCCTAGTGGAACCAGGTCCCACTTGGTCTTATAAGTTCCTAGTGGAACCAGGTCCCACTTGGTCTTATAAGTTCCTAGTGGAACCAGGTCCCACTTGGTCTTATAAGTTCCAAGTGGAACCAGGTCCCACTTGGTCTTATAAGTTCCTAGTGGAACCAGGTCCCATTTGGTCTTATAAGTTCCTAGTGGAACCAGGTCCCACTTGGTCTTATAAGTACCAAGTGGAACCAGGTCCCACTTGGTCTTATAAGTTCCTAGTGGAACCAGGTCCCACTTGGTCTTATAAGTTCCTAGTGGAACCAGGTCCCACTTGGTCTTATAAGTTCCTAGTGGAACCAGGTCCCACTTGGTCTTATAAGTTCCAAGTGGAACCAGGTCCCACTTGGTCTTATAAGTTCCTAGTGGAACCAGGTCCCACTTGGTCTTATAAGTTCCTAGTGGAACCAGGTCCCACTTGGCTTATAAGTTCCTAGTGGAACCAGGTCCCACTTGGTCTTATAAGTTCCTAGTGGAACCAGGTCCCACTGGTCTTATAAGTTCCTAGTGGAACCAGGTCCCACTTGGTCTTATAAGTTCCTAGTGGAACCAGGTCCCACTTGGTCTTATAAGTTCCTAGTGGAACCAGGTCCCACTTGGTCTTATAAGTTCCAGTGGAACCAGGTCCCACTTGGTCTTATAAGTTCCTAGTGGAACCAGGTCCCACTTGTCTTATAAGTTCCTAGTGGAACCAGGTCCCACTTGGTCTTATAAGTTCCTAGTGGAACCAGGTCCCACTTGGTCTTATAAGTTCCTAGTGGAACCAGGTCCCACTTGGTCTTATAAGTACCTAGTGGAACCAGGTCCCACTTGGTCTTATAAGTTCCTAGTGGAACCAGGTCCCACTTGGTCTTATAAGTTCCAAGTGGAACCAGGTCCCACTTGGTCTTATAAGTTCCTAGTGGAACCAGGTCCCACTTGGTCTTATAAGTTCCTAGTGGAACCAGGTCCCACTTGGTCTTATAAGTTCCTAGTGGAACCAGGGTCCCACTTGGTCTTATAAGTTCCTAGTGGAACCAGGTCCCACTTGGTCTTATAAGTACCAAGTGGAACCAGGTCCCACTTGGTCTTATAATTCCAAGTGGAACCAGGTCCCACTTGGTCTTATAAGTTCCTAGTGGAACCAGGTCCCACTTGGTCTTATAAGTTCCTAGTGGAACCAGGTCCCACTTGGTCTTATAA